TGCTTGTTTCATGTGTAAAGCACTGTTTGAAATACTCTTTCAATGTATTTGAAGATACTATGATTTCAAACCCTGCAGTAAGGAGTTACAAAGTTAATGTTAGTATGAAGATGAAAAAATTGTCGTAATCCTCTGGTCTTGAGTTTGATCTTCCTGTTCCAGATTGTTTTACTGGTCTACCAATATCAAATTACAGATCTTAGCTCAAGAAAATGTGAGACTACAGTGACATTTCCTTTTGTAACTATTGTGCTTTTTTTTAAAGTAGTAGTAAAGGTTTCTAATATGATTGTCAGGCTGTAACTCATTCTTATTCGGTTGTTTTGCAGCCGTCAGATGCTTTGATCTTGGGAAAGATAAAAAATGTGGACTGTGTGCTCTTAGCAAGGTAAATAAGCATTTTTGAGGGTTTTTTTATTATGTGTCTAAAAGTTTTCTCAGAAATTTTTCTCACTGCATTATGTGAACTGAATTTTTACCCTGGCTTCTTGCTCTTTATGCTTGCAGGCAAAGTCCAGCAGAAGTCTGGCTTTTTTTCCTGAGCAAATTTGATGCTGCAGGTACTGAGTATTAAAAATACTCTCTGGGCTAGGAAAAGAGAAATCCAGTGAGGTGGTACTGAGCTAGTAAGAATGGCAGTCTACAGGGCTGCCTGCTCTGGTGGTAGCTGTGTGGTGCTGATAACCCTACTAATTAATTCATCTGCTCACTGTGTTTGCAAATTTCCTTTGTGAAACTGAGAAAATGCCAGTTTCCAGTTGAAGTGTATCTCTGCTACCACTGCAGACTCTTCCACATAATTTCCTTTTATTATTGAGTCCTCTAACTGTTACACTTACTGCCTAGGAAGCTGCATCCCCTGCAGTTCTCATTCCCTGGGTCGTTATTACTCAGACATCTCTTAGGATACTGAGAAGAGACTCTGGAAGCAGGATCTGCAGGTGAATGTGTGGATATTTCACACTAATGTAAGCATGGGTGTCTAGGTCCACTGTGTTATTGGATTAAACATAAGAATACTAAGAAAGCTCTTGGCATCTGAATAGCATGGGCAGAGCCAGGTGCTGATGACAGGGGCTATCAGCAGTCCCAGACAAATCAAGGTGATTAGTCAAATAGAGGGTCCACTCTGTGAGATCTCATAACTGTGCTGTATCAAACTAGACCTTGGGCCACAGACGTCCGAACTGCTTGGCTGTGACTTACCTCCTCACTGCGATCTATGGCCATTCATGTGTGACCCTAGTGTGTCTCCTTTTAGGGCTAAGGTCCCTGCAGACTTCACTATGTGTTTTGGCATCTGAATGTCAGATTTTTAAACCAAAACAAAAATGTATATTTTAGAAGAGGATTATGATAGCAACTGTGACATTAAGTAATAAATCTGCATGCATAGTAGCTTCTCAAAAATATGAATGACAACATGGGAGTCCTGCTAGACAATGCTTGGTCATGTTGTGTGCAACACCCTGTTCCAAAATGATCAAATTCTTAAGACCTCTTGATGTCTGAAAAAAGCAGTTGGGAAAGTAAGTTCCTTCTTTTCATTTATATGGTTGAAATTACTTTCAAATGTGTTCAATCATTATGTAAGTGATGTACTTCTGTAGCAAGGACAGAGAGAGCACAAAAGCTTGTGCTTATAAGACTTAGTATTTCCTCTCATGGTGAAAAAGTATACTGCAGCAGTGTGAAGTCATTCTTATAGTTTATGAAAGCTGTTGGATCACTTTAAGTGCAAGGAGAAAAATGTGATGATTCTACTGTTTACTTTGGGAGGTTGACAGATCAGAACACAATTTTCTGTGACGCACCATTCTTTTCTGGGTGGGAGAATACAAACAGCTCTTCCGGGCAGAAAATTTCTGGAGGGGTTTATAAATCTTAGGGATTTGTTGTCGTGTATGGAAGAGGAGTTTCAGAGTCTATGGAACTGACTTAGAAAATTCAGAGAAAATTTTTTTTACTCTTGGAAGCCGCTAAAGTATACTTCGATTGTATTTTTAAGATTCTTTTCATTGCAGTCTTGAACTTAAAAATTTCGCATTTATAAATCAAATGCTGAGAGAACCTTAATACATTTAGAAAACAAGCTACACTGGAAGTAGCTGAAATGATCAGTTCCGCTTTCAGTATTGTTAGGGAAAGTACATTTCCTGAATTTCTCTTTATCTGGCAGAAGGAGGGCAATTTCAGTCTGATTTATTTTACTCTCTTGCAACATATATCTTTGCAGACATGGAAGGCATCATACAATTATGCCATCGAACGTCAATTACCGTGCCAATATCTGGGCATTAAAAGAAGAAAATTGTTCACATGTGTTAGTGACTACTGCCTGTGGTTCATTACGAGAAGAAATACAACCTGGTGATCTTGTCATAATTGACCAGTTCATTGACAGGTGAGTAACAGGGAGGAAAAAGAGGGCAAGTTGGGGTTAAACTATATATTAACATGTTCACATTAAAGCAAGTTTTTGTGAAATGAGGTGATAGCCTCAGTTCTTCTGTCTGAAAGAGGGGTTCATACAAGATGGTGTGATAGAAAACTGAAATGCAATTACAAGAAGTTCAGTTCCACCAGACATAGAAGTACCACCAGGCTTTGGAGGATGGCCACAAATGGACCAAAGTATAGCTCTGTAGGGAGAGTATTCTCCAGAAGAAATCTCCTATTCTCAGATATGGGGCAGGAACATAGATAAGGGCACAGGCCATTCTTAGTTTTATGAAAAATCTGGAAAGAGATGGAGAGGTGCAAGAAAGCATAGTAGGAGTCAGAAAAATATAAGCAGAAATAACAAGATTCTGCAGAAGAGGGGTAAATGGAACACAGTAACATAAGAGAGGAGGTTGTTTTAAGGCTAGGATAGATGCTTGCATTTTTTATTTGCTAAGAATTGTACGGAAGCAAATTTGTTTTCAGAGTCTGTGTACTCCACTCAGTCCTCCCTTCCCTGATCATCTGATTTTAGAAAAATTCAAGCAAAGCTGGGAGGGGGGAAATAAAGCTACATTTAGAGATCACCAGCAACACCAAATATTTCAAAGATATAGTTGCATATTTTGAAGTAAATTTAGTTTTAATACTTGGAGGTGTATTATATCTTGAAATCTGATGTGGGTATTTCACTTAATTTTAAGTGTTTAAAATGGTTTATGCAGCTTCTTTGTGCTGTTTTGCTACTGACAGTATCTCATTCCCAACTGAACATGTAATTGTTCTTTGCAGTGCAGTGCTATTCAGGTTTTGACTTAGACTCTTTTTGTATGTGTAACTGAAATGCTTCTTTTCTTGTAAGAGAGAACATTTTAAATACAGTGTATCTAAATGACTAAGTTCCCAGCAAGAGCAAGACCCATATAATAAACTGCTTCCTGTTATACTGGAGTTGATTTCTGGGTAGATACTGGCTGTATTGCTGACAGTGGTCTTTTTTCCCTTTTTTTTCAAGTCTGAAACTATTTAGGCTGTTTGCTTTGTTTATGCAAATTACATTTATAGTCATCTTTATTCTGCCAGTAGTAGTTGGAAATGAGTAACTTTAGTATTGATATTGATTTATATAGGATAGATATTAAGCATACCTGGGGACATGGTTTGGATGATTGTGGGTCAAGCACCAGCTATTTTGGCAGCATTATCATCTGGCAGTCTCCTGGGTAGGTGAGGGGAGCCTAACCATGCTAAGTTGTGAATTGCTTGCATGGTAAGAAGTAGTGTCTGGCCCAGAGAGCCTGAAGTTTTAAACAGGAAAGAGTTGGAATAATCGCAGAGTTATTGTCTGCTACAGATGAGGGGTGGAAGTGTAGAGAAACTATCTCTTGAAGACGTCAGGAAGAAAGACTTTAACAGAGACAGGAAGTGAACCCAGATACAAATTCTGAGAACATCCTTCATCCAAATGTCATTATCAAAATTAACAATTAATTTTGAAGCTACCTAATCTCTTCCCACAGCTTTAAATTTCCCTGCGCTTGCCAGTCTGCATCATAACTACTGACCTGGAAATGAAATAACCAGCCTGGCGAAGTGTGGGATTTAAGAACTTGTCCCTTTCAAGAAGAAGAAAAAAAATGTTACAGGACAAATTAGTATATTTATATGAAGTGAAGATAATTGAAAGGACTGGGATCATTTACATTGCAACAAAGAAGGCAAATATTATCTTAGGTGGCATTAATCGGGGTGTTGCCAGCAGGTCGAGGGAAGTGATCCTTCTTCCCCTCTGCTCAGCATTGGTGAGCCACGCCTGGAGTACTGTATCCAGTTCTGGGCTCCACAGAGCAAGAGGAACATGAACAGACTAGAGTGAATCCAGCAAAGGACCACAAAGTTGCTAAAGGTCTGGAGCATCTCTGGTAAGAGGAGAGGCTAAGAGAGCTGGGACTGTTCAGCTTGGAGAAGACTCAAGGGGAATCTCATTGTGCAGAAAACCCTGAAGAGAGGGTACACAGAAGATGGGGCCAGGCTCTGTCTGGCAGTGCTCAGTGACATGACTTAGAGGCAATGGGCACAAAATGAAACTCCATAAGTTCCCTCTGAACACCAGGGAACACTATTTTACTATAAGGGTAAGTGAGCAGTGGCACAAATTGCACAGAGAGGCAGTGGAGTCTCCATCTTTGGAGATACTTTGGACATGGGACATGGGCAGCCCCGTTCTAGGTGGACCAGATGACCTCCAGAGGTCTCTTTTACCCTCAACCATTCTGTAATCTGTGTCTTCATTCAGATGGTCACCAGTAGTAATGGCATAGTCTGTTTCTGCAGTGTTTCATTTGGGCAAGTAAGTTTTCATTTTCATTTAGAAGAGTGGTTAAAACAAGAAGCTTCTCAGAAAAGCATATGACAGTGTTTCAGTGTGGAAAACAATATGTAATATGAATTTAAAAGTCATTCCTAACCTGCCCTTTAGTTCAGGAAACTGACATGTCTATATAATAGTCTGTTTCACTGACAGTTTAATTTCTGTGTCAAGTCTTTTGTGGGTAATGATTTTTCCAATGGGTCTTAGACTGACAGTTCTTTGGAGGTGAGGTCTGCATTTAGCCCATCACAGGGGTCTGAGAGTGATTGCATTATATATAATTAAGTCATTATGATAACAGTGCTACAGGTAGGAAGGTATTTTTGTGGGACAAAATATATTAGGAGTCCACCAAAGTCGGAAAAGATGTGGTTTTTCTGAAATACCTTCTAATGAAAGATCAGGGTCCTGCAAACAATGTTAACAGTCTTGGAAAGAAGGTACTGCTTAAAGTTGCAAAACCAGTCAGTTATTTTTCTTGAAAGGTACGCTGGCTTCTATGTAGTAATTAACCCATGCCAGGCATTACATAGGGAAGAGGCTTTGGTTTAGGAAGGATTTACTCAAGCTGTCATTAACATCAGTGTCTTCCAGGTGTCCAGGTACCTTTTAGGATCTGGACGCCAATTCTCAATAGGGAGCACATCATTATTCTCCTTACCGGTGTGAAGCAAGAAGAAGGAATAGTGAATGGGAATGAGAGAAGAGCTAGAACTGAGCAGAAAGTTGTAAGCAGCAATTGTAATTTGCTCTCCTTGGCCATGCACGCTTAAAAATTATTGACGGGATCCTACACAATAAGGACTCGTGTAGGACTTCTGCCGAGTTCATGGCATAGGTTTGACTTACAGTGGGGAACACTGAATATATAACCTCTCCAAACTTTTGAAAGCTTAATTTTGCAGATCACTGCCACTCCGAATGTTTGATTTCATATGTAAATTCTCTGCTTTCTTTATGCTTGTTATTAATGTGTGTATTTAAACAATAAAAGGTACATTTTGTTAAATAAGTACAAAAATACTTCAGCAGATGGTGTTCTCCCGACTTTTAAATCCAAAAGTAACCACAGGTGCTATTACGGGCTACAACTGTTTTTGTCTTATTTAAAAAAAAGTACTTACAAAAAATCTGCAAGAACCTTTTTATACCTTTGGCCCCTGTTAGTTTATTACAGCACTGTTAGTCAATTGGCTATGTTAATTAGGGGCTTTTGAATGCTTTGTTTAGTTGCTGTTGATATATGCTAGGAAAAGAAGAATAAGATGCTAACTAATTCCCTGAATGACTCAACTCAGCTGGGGAGATGCAAAAAATGGCTCCGTAAAAGAAATCCTGTAGTAGCTGCCAGTTTTATTGTTTCAGTTCTGTGTCACATACACCACTGCAATTATTGCAGTATTTTTACACTCTGTAAATGTTTTTGTGGGAGAATTATCTTCCAGTGTCCCTGAAGACACAGAGTATACTGAGATAACTTTTTATAAATCCAGTGCCAGTGTGCTTTAATTACTAATTGTTGATAATTCAGCAGTGCTGGAAGAAAGGGGAGGGTGATGATGCAAGCGGTAGAGGACTCTTTGTCACAGATGGAAGTGATTGGTTTGTTCAAATGTTTGAGTTGGATTTTGCTTCCTAGAATTGGCCATAGTCAGAATAGCCATAAAATCCTGTGTTACTGAGGTAAAACCAAAGTGAAAGAGTAAAAGCTGTTTTACTCTCTGATTAAAAGTGACTGTTCCTGCAGGGTGAGGAATGGAAACTCTGGGCACACCTTCAAAATAGCAGGATATGCAGCTTTGAATTTCAAAAAGCAGTAAGTGCAAAGCAGGCATGGCAAAACTGTGTAACAGTGCAAGGCTTTGCTTGCCCTGTGAGTACCAGTGTCTCCTTGAGCATGGGACACAAGTAGTTGTGCTTAAAAACATATGTGCCCCGGAAAGAACTCCCTTTTCTCCTGTACTGCTGTCCGCTGTTTGGCACAGAGGCAGCATGAGGGGCCAGTAGGCATTCTCTGCAGAGCCCTACACAGAAGTCAAATGGACAGTAGGGGTAATGTAGCCCCATCTCTGAGCTGCTTGTTTGAGGCTGTCAGTCCAGTGCTTTCAGGTGCTGCTTCTGATTACCCCCACTGGGAGTATCTGTACTTTCCCATTATGCTGTGCTTAATCCTTCTGGATTGTGCATTTCTACTGTGATTTATCATGGCTAGTTTCTAGGCAGGCACGTGGTGACTTCTTCCCGTTTTAATGTAAAGCTTTGTTAAGTAGGTCTTGTTCTGACAGAGGGCATGCAAACTTCTCCGCATTTAAACCTCTGAGATCTGGGGAGCAGATTGCCTTTGAAGAATGGCTTATTTCTTGTTTTGTACAGGCTCCATAAGGTGTCACTCAGTATACATGGGGATGTCTTCAAATACCCTAGAGTGAGAGGAGCTTTAGGCAGGTACTGTCATTTGCTGTCTGGGTCTTGGTGAGACTAAGGCAAGGAAAGCATCTGTGGTTCTGAGACCTCCATTTTTTTCTGCAAGGGATACAGAGGAATGGTATTATGTGCTGCTGCCCTGTACCTTGCAGACAAATGAGTAGTACAGCTCAGGATGGTCAACTCCTGACTTGAGTAGCAGGGCTGGAGAAAGGAGAAGAGGCTAAAAGGCTTTCCTCTGCCAGCCATTACTTCTTATATAGCAAGGAATCAGAGAGAGGTTTAAATCCACCTAAATGCACGACTAGCAACTGAAGACACATCAGCTGGACCCGTGTCAAAGAGAGGTGGTCTTTCCAGAGTTGCAGCTTTCCATGCAGAAGAGAAATTGTCACACCCTTAGACTGAAATATGTGGTCCACTGCTTAGAGCAATTACAGGTCTTACTGTTGTTACTTCTTCCCATGCAGTTTGTATGTATGGTGCTAAATGTAGTGAGATTTCTTTGTTAGGCCTTGTGGTGCTGTGACTGTTCTCTTTGAAGAACACAGAGTATCTGAAAGTCAGGCATTAATATTTATACATATATGATCTTTCCTCAGGGCTTTAGTGAGTGGAATACTTCTGAAATACTGTAATGCAGGAAATGGACTATGACTTTTACCATTCCCTCCAACTCCAAATAATTCATTGGCAAACACTATAGAAAAGTGTGAAAAATCAGATACATTCTTTTTTCAGCTTTTCAGTATCCCATAAAGGAAAAATTAATATTACTGTTTCCACTGATTTCAGCAGCTATATCCTGTTTCACATGTGCTTTCAGTTTGTTGATCACTTTCCTATTTTGCAATCTCATTCGTCAGGCCACCCTATTTGTTCTTTCTTTTTTTTTCCAGGCTACTCTAACATGTAGTTTATATTTAAAACCTTCTTTTAAATATTAGCTAGTGACTTGGGTGGGGAGCTGTCGAAAACAGTATTACCAGCAGATGTTTTGTGTTTCAACTGTGGATGTAATTTGGCTGTTGTCTTCATTTTCTCCTATAAAGTACAGTATGTGGCATAGTGCAGGGAAGAAGGGAATGATAAAGAATTTAGTTCTAGAGGGTTTGTGCCATCCAGTTGGCTGCTTTAGCTTGAGGAAGTGCATTTGAAAGTAAAGTGATAGTGGATAACAGTTCCGTGTGTTCCCAAATGCCATACTGGATGGTAATTTCAGCAGCATGTTTGACCACTTCTGTGCAAGGAAACAATTTCTTAATTGAAGGGTGAGAGATAAAATGATTCACCTACTTGGAAGCTTCCGGTGCATGTGTGTGATATTTCTGAGAACATGAAGACATCCTCTTCCAAGGTTTTTCTGACTGAATTCACACCTCTTTTGTGCAGGAAGCTGTTCCTATAAATTCCTATCCTTTCAATGTAGGATTGGAATGATGTGAACAAGTTGTATTTTGACTAGCTTTGTGGTAATTCAGACTTGATTCTTTCCCTTCCTGAAAGTTTACTGTGCTCTTTCTTTCAGAGATTGCATGCCTGACCATTAAGTTAGCTGTTTGCTTTTGGGTAGAATTGCAGCATAATGTGGCTGTTCACGTCCTTTAGGGACAAATCAGCGCTTCAGCATCTTGTTAACAATAGATTTTTCTCTAAGTAGCTGACAGTGCATTACTGGAGTAACAGTTTTGTACTCTTGAGCTCAATTTTGAAAAGTTTGTACAGAGACAAAACCAGATTACAGGTGGACATTAACATACTGGGATTTTTTCCCTCCATACCAGATTTCTGTTTTCTCTGTGTTCTCTCTAAGCATGTTTTCTGCTTTTCTAGGACAACTAAAAGACATTGTACTTTATACGATGGGCAGCATTCCACTCTTTCAGGAGTATGTCATATTCCAATGGCAGAGCCATTTTGCACCAAAACCAGAGAGGTTAGTGAATTTTGTAATAGTATTTAGAAATGTTATTTTTATGGCACTTATTTGTGATATAGTAGTCTAATTATGCATTCTAGAATACAGAGGCAATCTGCACCTCTTCATCCTATTTCTCAGATATGTTATGGTATGAAGGACAAATCATAGAATCATAGAATCAACCAGGCTGGAAGAGACCTCAAAGATCATCGAGTCCAACCCTACCGTCGTTACTAGACCATGGCACTAAGTGCCACGTCCAGTCGAAAACCTCCAGGGATGTTGAATCCACCACCTCCCTGGGCAGCCCATTCCAATGCCTGAATGTAACATTTGGAAGGCATGAGAAGTAAAAGATCTTGTGTCTGTCTTTCTAAGGAGAGTGTGCAGGTGTCAGCTGGCAACCTAGATTTCTCCAGAGTCTAATAACAGGGCAAAAGATCTTCATTTATCAGGTAAACAGCCAAGAGAACAACAAAGTGAATTTGTGCTTTTGTGTGTTGTAGAGGTGGGTGGTGGTCAAGCCTCAGTTTAACATGGAAACAAGCCAAATTACATTAGCCTTAAATTCTGAACTGCCACTCTCAGTTTTGTCACTTCAAGATTTTCATGCTTCAGAAACACTTAGGCTAAGGAATGTGAAACACTCCTCTCTTTTTCAGCACCTTTATAAGCTTCCGGGAGGAGTGTGTCTGTGATGAAATATGTTACCTTACTGTATTCTTAGAGTTGAGGGTAAAGGAAGGTGAAGATTGAACTGCATGTTTTGTGCTGTTGTGGAATGCTCTGATGAGAAGCTGCAAGCAGGTGCATTCTTCAAGGGAACAGGAGTAGTTACAGAATCAATTATATCTATCTAAGAGACTTGCTGTCTGCAGGCAAGACAAAGCTGAATTGTGTAGCAGGTGGAATAATCTATACCCAGACCATGTGCAAACATTGGCAGTACTTCAGTGTCTCTCATTTTTAAAAAAATTAAGTGCACATGTGTAAGACACTTCCTGAAGTTGCAGGGGACATATGACAAGACTTGGTTTCTTTCAGATGTTATTAGCTAGAGACAATGTTGTTTGGGTATTACATTTTTTGAAAAGCCAACAGGGAAATGCTGCTTTTCAAACAGAGAGAAAACATTTAGGTACTTCCCAGTCTCACATGTGATCATTATCTCATTAGCCCTTGCATTCTAATCAGCCTAACAGATGTTTTAAACAACACGTGGTTTTGAGATCTTGAGACTTAGAATGGATATTTTTACTTCATGTGACTTAAACTTTTTTCCTGGAACTATCTCTTCAAAATTGTTGGCATAATTTCAACGCAGTTTAGCCTAATTAAGGGAAATTTCATAGATAAATGCAATAATAATAAAGACAAAACTGTGAATATAATAGGTTAAGAAATTTTGTGTCACAGCATCTGAAAACTGTATATTCTATTGCATTTGTGCAAGTACATTGAAATACTCTGGTTTATTTGGTTTGTGCACTGTAAATTAAATGAGAATCTGAATAGAGTTTATCTTTTTCTCTGACTGTAAAATTTTGAGTAGCATGGGATGCCTTAGTTATTACTGCTTTCAGAAACTGAGGCTCAATGCAGCATCTTGTAGGGAGTGAACTTGGAACCTGGTAAATAATTTCAGGGCAGTACTGCTCAAGTGTGGATTAAGTCAAGTCACAATTCAAGTTATGTATTGATTGATTAACAACTTGTAATTAGCTGGCATTCAGTGAAACATATATTCCAAATTAATCTCAGCAATAAACCACAATATTAGGTGTGATTAATATTAGATTAACCTACGGCACATTCACAAACACCACAAATCTCTACGTGTCTTTCTCTGGCTAATCCCCAGATGCTCTGCTTTATGCCTACGGACATGTTCTTGCAGTTGCATGCACAAATACCCTTCCCAGCACATACGGGTTCTGTGCACACCCACCCTTTTCTGGGAGTGCAGATTTACTTGTGTACATGCGTCTGCAGTGGGAGATGTGGGTACTCCTTGTGTTGTTGTGCTGCTCCACACAATCCACTGATCCGCATGCCAGCAGGGAGGCACCCCACAAGGTCAGTTAACACATTCGAGCTGTTGCTGCTTGTTGCACCTGTGTATGCTGAGTGCAGGCTTCTCACAGGGGGTTGCAGAGAGGCTGTTCCACCTGGCCTGCGTGAAGTTGCTTCTGTTGGTGTCAGACTAGGTTTTTCACTGTTGCTGCATTGTGAAGCTCTTTCTAGTCCTGTCACAATTTTTCATGCAAGTTTTTGTTGTCTTTTCAAGCTTTTTTTTTTTTCTGTTGATGGCCATTTTAAACAGATGTCATCATAGTTATTTTCCCCCTCCTACTCAGGACAGTGATGAGTGTCCTAGTCCCATCTACATAGTCTGGTACCCTCTTTATTCCTACTGTATCAACGGATATTATGCAGGCCATTCGCCGAGATGATTCTGCCATATACAAGGCCCTAACTGGAAACTCTGAAGACTACTATGAAGTACATGCCATATGTAAAGGGTACAGCCCAGTCACTGGCATGGGAGAATGTGGTAGTAATTTCTCTAGAGATTGCCAGGGTATTCTTTGAAGTATGTGATTGTAGAGTTTGCTTTCAAAAAATACATTTCCTATAACTGTTCTTACTAAGTCAACTCCACCATGTGATAATAGAGTGCTCAGTGGAGTGTTTTCACCATTCTGTCCTCAGTGTATGCACAGCCTAAAAAGCATGCAAAAAAATTCTCTTTTCCAGTCTTCATCTCATTGAAAACTGAAGTCCAGCTGATATTAACAAAGTCAGATGAGTTCAAGTTCATTGCTTTTGGTAGGATGAGTAATTTCTATTGTTGGGTGATGAAAACAAAACTGCTCCTTGGTTTTAGACAGCTGTAGCTGTATGAAGTTTGGCTGCTTTGTATAAAGCTAGCTTCTTTTGTATGTAATTTTCTTAATGGGATGCAAAAGCAGTGCACAAGGGGAATTATTTTCTTTGCCTGACACTGGCATGTCTTGCAGGTTCTTATTGAGACGGCCAAGAAGCTGGGGCTCCAGTGTCATTCCAAGGGGACCATGATCACAATTGAAGGCCCACGTTTCAGTTCTCGAGCAGAAAGCTTTATGTTTCGGAGCTGGGGAGCTGATGTTATCAACATGACCACAGTGCCTGAAGTGATCCTTGCAAAAGAGGCTGGAATGAGTTATGCTAGTATTGCCATGGCAACAGACTACGACTGCTGGAAGGAACATGAAGAAGCAGTGAGTGAAACTTTTTTGTCTTTGGTCTTGTCCTGAGGGGTTTGGATGAGAATGTGTAGGTTTTGGTAAAAGATGACATACTAAGCCAAATCTATTCTTCTTACATCAGTATCCCTCAGTTATTCTTGATGAATGATTGTGAAAGTAGGAACGGAATCAGTTGTTGCTTTCTCACTCATTTCTATAAACTTGCCTCCCTACTAGCAAAACTTTTGTTTCCTCTTGTCTGAATCAGGGAGTGTGTGAGTGTGAAGCTTGTGAGCTCTGTGTATGACTTGTCTTCCTGTAATTGATCTGGTGTTTTGATTTTGCAGCTCTGTACAAAACAATGTGTCTGCTTTAGTTCTCCTTTATGCTTAAGGGTGTATAAATTACATGTATTTGTGCATTTGAACTTGTGCCATCAAGAAAGACCACTCAGTTTTATTGTATTTCTAGGTTTCAGTGGATAAAGTTTTAAAGACACTGAAAGGGAATGCAAATAAGGCTACTAGCATACTCCTTACTGCTATACCTCAGATAGGTTCTATGGAATGGACCAACACCCTGCACACCCTGAAAGTAAGTATGCACATGAGGCTGATGAGTACTAGGAACAGTGTATGTGTATATACACATAATACAGGTGTATTTCTACAAGATGTGTCTCCTTAAGTCATGACTTTTCATAGTAAATGCTTCAACAATACAAGAGAGGAAATCAGTCTAGGAGGCTCCTGGAGTGTGTGGATGACAACTTCCTAACACAACAGATAAATGAACCCACCAGAGAAGGTGCTCTGCTAGACCTGGTGTTTGTGAACAAAGAAGGAGTGGTAGAAGATGTGGTGGTTGGTGCATGTGATGGGCATAGGGATGACAAAATGCTCACATTTTCAATAGTGGGTGATGTAATGAGGGCCAGCAGCAGAACTTCCACCTTGGACTTCCAGCATGCAGACTTTGACTTGTTTAGGACATTGATTGATGGAGTCCCTTGGGAGTCAGTCCTGAAGGGTACAGAAGTTCAGGAAGGTTGGGAGTATTTTTGAAAGGAAATGTTAAACATTCAGGAGCAGATTGTCCCTACGTGTAGGAAGTCAAGTCATTGATAAAAAAGATCAGCCTGGTTAAACAGAGAATTTAGGCTGGAGCTTGGGAAGAAAAAGAGAATGTATTGTCTCTGGGGGGAGGGTCAGGCAAGTTGGGAAGATTCCAAGAGGTGATGTAGGGAGAAGATTAGGGGGGGTCAAAACACAGCTGGAACTTGATTTGGCCTTTAAAGTCAAGAAAAACAAAAAAAGTTTTTATAAATACATTGGGAGCAAAAGAAGGGTCAAGGAGGATGTCCATCAGTTGCTAGATGTAGAAGGTAGTGTAGTGACAGGGGATGTGGATAATGCAGAGGTATTCAACACGTTATTTGCCTGTGTCTTTAATGTCATAACCAATTGCCCTCAGGATACCCAGCTCCTAGACTGGAAGTTGGTGATGGGGTGATGAGTGAAGCCCCGTAATCCAGGAGGACATGGTTAATGACTGCTATGCCAATTAGACATTCACAAGTCCATGGGCCCTGATGAGGTCCACCTCAGGTAATGAGGGAAAAGAACTTGCTAAATCGCTTACAATGACCTAGCAGCAGTTCTGGATAACTGGAGAAGTTCCGGCTGACTGCAAGTTGGCAAACATGACAGCTATCTACAAGAAGGTTCGGAGGGAAGATCCAAGGAACTACAGGCCTATTAGCCTCAGCTCAGTTCCAGGCAAGGTCATGGAGGAGATCATCCTGAGTGCCATCACATGACACATGCAGGGTAACCAAGAGATCAAGTCCAACCAACATGGATTTATGAAAGGAAGGTCCTGTTTGTCCAACTTGATCTCCTTGTGTGACAAAGTGACCTGCTTAGTGGATGAAGGGAAGGCTGTGGATGTGGTCTGTCTGAACTTCAGCAAGGCATTTGACACTGTCTCCCACAACATCCTCCTGGAAGAATTGGCTGCTCATGGCTTGGACGTCTGGATTCTTTGATGGGTGAAGAGCTGGCTGAATGGCCAGGCCCAGAGAGTTGTGGTAAATGGAGCTAAATCAAGTTGGTGTCTGGTCACTAGTGATGTTCCCCAAGGCTCGGTATTGAGGCCAGTCCTATTTAACATCTTTACTGATGATCTGGACGTGGGTATTGAGTGCACCCTCAGTAAATTTGCAGGTCACACCAAGTTGGGTAGGAATGTTGATCTGCCTGAGGGTAGGAAAGCCCTACAGTGAGACCTGGACTGACTTGATCAATGGGCTGTGGACAACTGCATGAGGTTCAATAAGGTGAAGTGCTGAGTCCTACACTTGGAACACAACAACCTCATGCAGCTACATTCTGGGGGACAAGTGACTTGAGAGTTATTTGTAAGAAAGGGACTTGGGAGGGCTGGTTGACAACCAGTTCAGTATGAGCCAACAGTGTGCACAGGTGGCCAAGAAGGCCAATGGCATCTTTACCTGTCTCAAGAATAGTGTGGCCAGAAGGACTGTGAAAGTGATCATCCCCTTGTACTCGTCGTTAGTAAGGTCACACTTCGAGTACTGTGTTCAGTTTTGGGCCACTCACTTTAAAAAAGGACATTGAGGTGCTAAAGCGAGTCCAGCCAAGGGCAACAAGGTTCATGAAGGGTCTAGAAACCATGTCATAAGGAACAACTGAGGGAGTTGGATTTGTTTAGCCTTGAGGAGAGGCATCTCAGGAGTGACCTCATTACTCTCTAC